CGGGGATTTGGCTAATTTCAGTGCATGAAATCTGATTGTTGAAACTTTGAAACTTGTATACAGATTTCTGAATTGAATATGGAGTTTTTCTTTGATTTGGCGAAAACTTGTTAAATAAATTTTATTGTGCAAAATGCTATGCCTAAAATTCCGAGGAACTGAAATTAGTTCAATTCTGATTTAGTTTATCTACAAATTTGCCATACAATAAATGAGATCAATTTCAAATGCATTTTTTACCACAAATGAGAAGACTCAAAAGAGCAATCATCTTTCACAATTAAACTCTTTTCCCCCATAATTTTAAGGCATTGGTAGAAGCAGCTGACCCACTAAAAACCAATTTTCTGCCCCCAACAAACAATGCATGACTATCATACAGATCAAAATGAACAAGAATTTCATTGGCATCATATTAGAAATTACATGTCATGCCCATGTAAGTTCATGAGAATGGATAAAGCTTGCACCGAACACAAGTTGTAAGCAAGAACAAAAAAACATTAAGAAATAGACTAAATATTCCATAATCACAACTCCCACATGGTAAAATAAAAAAGTTCATCAATAGTCAAAGCACATCGATTCAATCAGATAACAGCCCGACAACATCGGGTTCCAAAACAATAACAAAGAACCATTTCTTCAACAAAACAAAATACCTTTACTCAGAAAGAGTAGATTTGAGCTCCCCAGCTTTACGCAGCTCCATGACAATATCACAGCCACCTATCAATTCTCCTTTGTAGTACAGCTGAGGAAAAGTAGGCCAGTTCGAATATGTTTTTAATCCTTGCCTAACTTCCTCATCAGATAGAATATCAAATGATGCGAAACTGATTCCTTCCTCTCGCAGAGCATTAACAACCTTCGAACTGAACCCGCAGCTGGGCGCATCAGGTTTACCCTTCATGAAAAGCATTACGGGGGATGATGAGATCAGATTCTTTAAGCGATCCTCAAGTTTTTCTTCCTGGATGACGCCTTTTTCTGCAAGAACTTTCCTTAAAGCTCCACTCTTATGCATCTCAAGCACTATATCAGATCCTCCAATGAGCTGACCTTTCACATAGAGCTGAGGATAGCTAGACCAGTTGGAAAAGGTTTTCAGACCCTGCCTAACTTCATCATCAGAAAGCACATCGAAGCTCTGAAACTCAACCTTCTCCTGCTTGAGTAAATCAACAACCTTGCTGCTAAAACCACACTTAGGCTCTTCAGGTTTCCCTTTCATGAACAGCACAACAGAACTTGAGTTTATGAGGGTTCCCAGTCGAGATGCTAATTCAGCACTGAGAGTTGTGGAGCCAGCTACCCCACCTTTCCCAGATCCTTGAGCTCCAGGAGATGGCACGTTCTGCTTTGAAATAAAAGGAATTCCATGATCTCTGAACACCTCCATCAATTCTCCACTTTCATGCATGGCAACTACAATATCACACCCACCAAGAAGTTCACCCTTGCAGT